ACTTGTGAAGAAGATAAACTTAAAATAAACTTATAAGCTAAGTACAACTTATCATATTATGCTATTGAATAAAGGTTAGGTATTAGTATGTAAAATAATAAAACTCAATGATTGAGTGAATTGACCAATTATCTACCAAATTTAAGGGTAAAACAATCATCATTATATAAGTTTAGATGACGTGTTGATGTTTTAATTTTAAGATGTGGTATTCTTTTAGTATGTGACTGATGCTACCAAGACGATTATTTGCATTATATCGATCTATTACCGATATATTTTTCTTCATTTTTTTAAGTGAAACACAAAAAGTGTGTTACCAAAAATTATTTTAAAATAAAATGATAATATATTCATTTTATGAAATTTTTTGAATAGTTTTGACATATTTCTGAAAAATAGGTATTAATTAATAACTATTCACATTTTTTTTATACCGATTTTTAAGTTACTATAAATGTATTCCTATTTTATTTTATATTACTAATTGGTCAACTATTAATGAAATAACATAATATTAAATGATTTTTAATTTGACAAATAGGTGACAATACGGTACCACGAGACCCAGTGGCATCTGCATGGGGGGGGGGTCTAACGGGCTGAAGCCCCCCCACCCCATTGCCTGTATTATTGTTTTTTGTTTTTATATTTACCTTGATTTAATATAGTTTCTTAAATCGTGAGTTTACCTATTTATTGCAAACAATGCAAACCATATTGTCCTAAACTGGCTAAACTCCTAAGGTTCATAGATAATATTATTATACATTCCATAGTCAGTAGTCATGATTAAAGATACTATCTTTAGCCGTGCCACAGTCCGCATATAAGTCTATAATCTATGATGATAAATGAACTGATTTTAGCAACACTATCAGTCTATCCAAGCATCGATATTTTGATGCCCGAGTTAACCTGTTAAACCTGTGACAACTCCCCCCCACCACCATTGAAAAATCCTGCGTACGCCACTGACGAGACCGGTCCACTGTCCATATATGTTACCATTGTCACCTAATAAACGAATACCTAAGATGTTTTTATTTTTAAATAAGTTATGAATATGATTTAAAGGGGACGAAAATATAGCTCACTACTTCAAACACTACGCCTAGGTAATATATTGTTCCGATTTTAATTTTGAACATTTGGATTCATCACTTTGCTTTGAGACGATTTGTCTTCTTTTTAAAAAAAAAAAATTGAAAGATTTTCAAATAAGTTTATGTCGCATCAAAACTTTATTCGTCAAAACTTCAGAAAATCTTCAATTAGTAAAATAATATAGATTTGTTATGTGTAGTTTCCCTTTATGACTCATTAGTACTTTAAATTTGAAAGCAAAGAAACAATGTTTTAGTAAAGCTATAAAAATGAGTGGTGTGAATACAGTTTCTTAGCAGGAAACTAGAACGAAACGAGGAAACAGATTTTTTGATGAAGAGCCTGATGAAACTTTCGTAGGTTTTTTGCTACGACCTCTAAAATGAAAATGAAGTYTAATATACCTACATGTATAATATTATTTAAATAATTTTAAAGTAAACAYAAGAGTATAATACTAGTAAAACAATTTAGTTTTTATTTTACTTGTCTTAAAACTGAACTTTTAAATTGTATTTATATTTCATAAATTAATTTACCGCTATAATTAAGTTAGTAAGTTCCTATTA